ACGGTACGTGGCTGCTAGCACGGCAGAACCCCAGCTCCACTGCGGCACGTCCTGTGGCTGAGCATCCGCGATGGACCGTGCGTAGTGGACTAGCCGGAAGTCCACAGCGTGCCCGTGGGTGCTAGTGAACATCACCCACCCGAACAACCACAACAGGTACGCCTCAAGGGAGCGTCGGACCGAGTAATCATCAGCGTCAGGGTGCAGAAGGTCCGCCTACAATTGAGAATGAAATGTTAGTACAAAACACTCATCCGGTCGCAAATAAGCATGTATGATAATAACAACTTATTTACTTACAGTGAACTGGAGCAACCAAGCCTTGCTAGGCCCGACTGTAGAGTACGGAGGAAGGGTGTTGGCCGGTCCTAGGTGTGGAAGGCGCATCACCTGCTCGAAGCGCGCAGTGATATCCTCCTTCCACCCAAAAACACCGTCCACGGGACCAACTGGTGCTCCCGCCAGCGGTAGCCCGAGCAGGTACGACACGTCCTGCAGTGTCGGAGCCATCTCCCCACAGGGAAGGTGGAACGTGTGCGTCTCAGGTCTCCAGCGGTCTACAAGAGCGGCAAGGAGTGACCGGTCTGCATCCCACCGCTTCGCTGGGTCACGGTCGTCCGCCGCCGCCTCAACAAGCCTACAAAGTGGTAGAAGGCCTGCCGCACGCAACCTGTATAGAGCAAACTTCAAACATAAGTACAACACAAAGCAAAGTTGAGTTGAAATGTGAACATACGCGTACCAAGGAACGTGACGGGGGTCGACACGCAACCACTCGCGCGACGTGCGTGGACGGAAGGTGCCGAGCTGTGCACCCTCGACTGCTGACAGGAACGAGCGGTGGTTCCTGTCAATCCCACGGTTCAACAGCGCCGGTGTGTCGTACGCCATACCTGCATCAAATAGGTTGATCAGAAACATATAAATAATTAGTTCAACATAAGTAATAAATGTTCATAAGCGAATTACTAACACATATTAAACAAGAGTACAAACAAACAAAAGTGTTTAGTCCGAACACTCATCACGATAACATTATGATACAACACCGAATAGTTCGCATTACTACTAGTACAACAATAGTCGGAGGTACTCACTACAACAACATTGAATTGAAATTACACGATAGAAGTATTTAGTCCGAACACTCATTACATCACAACAGCATTTTATTTCCTAAATCGAAAGCATTGTTACACCATGGAATCGCCTGCTGCGCGACGACGCCTTGGCCTTGCGCGCCTGCTTGTTGTTCCTTCACCAGGTGGTCGCCTACCATCACTTGCCTGTCCAGATGGACTAGCATCTGCGCCGCTTGGAACTTCTGCATTCTTCGGGCATTTCTTGTAAGTATGGCCGCGCAGATCACACTTGCTGCAGCGTAAAGTCCTCCCACCTGCTTCTGACTCATCCATATCATTTCTGATGCGTCTAGTTTGGCGTCGACCCTTTTTCACCCTTAACTTAGATGGATCTGGAATATAAAAAACTTGGGCACTCAGCGTTGTGTAAGATCCTGAGATCCCGAACCCATATATCTCCTCACTCCATGTATGAAAGATTGCTTCTTTCCTGAAATAATTTGAGACGTACACATTGGGAGATATGCCACAATCACCGGCAGCAGCAAGGACGTGTGAGCAAGGAAGGTGATGAAGCTTCGGCTTCATACAACTGCAGGTACATCCACCATCCGCCTTCAAGACACATTCCTGCACGGCTTGCTTGCGATAGATACCACGCCTGCTCCTATCAACACACATTATTTCATACCGATGCACTTGTGTGCCTTGAGCAACAACTCGATGTCTCTGTGCCTTTTTGATTTTATCTTCCATGTACTTTGTCACTACGTTGCCAAACACTATGTTGTTATCGGCCATGGACGGACCAATTTTCTTGTATCGATCCCTAAAGTACGCTTGCGTGCCGTGAAGGATGAATTCAACAATAGCAACCAATGGAAGTACCCGAACTCCTCGCATTACCCAGTTGTACACCTCTGCCAAATTGGTTGTCATTATGCCATACCGAGATCCATCGGTGTCGAACAATAGAGACCACTTCTCCTTAGGCTCATTCTCAATCCACTGAGTGAAATTTCTGATGGACGACCCTGACCTCCTTCTCATTGTTGGTGGGTCATCATGTAATGCACCAAGAGGTATGGGAGGCTCGTCACCTTCAACTAGTGGTCTGCGAGATTGCTCATCTGTTTGCTTCGTTGTCAACTCATCCAACTTGTCCCACAACTCATTAAATTTCTTCTCTTGGTTCTGTGCACAGAGCCTCTTAAAGAGCTCCATAAGATGCTTGTTCTTGAATTGCTTGTAGAAATTTGCACCCATGTGACGCATGCACCACCGACTCCAAACATCAGGCCACTTAGCTGGAAGTCCCTTCTCATCCCAACCGTTCTGCAAGTAGTCAATAGCCCGCAACATACCCGCATGACGATCATGTATAAGGCAAACATTGGGCCTCATACGCACCACTGCAATGTGCACTCTCTCTAGGAACCAGTACCAGCTTTCAGTGTTCTCACTCTCTACAAATGCAAAAGCCATAGGTAGAACCTGGTTGTTCCCATCACACCCAATTGCTGTCAATATCTGACCTCGGTATTTACCTGTCATAAAAGTTCCATCTATGCATAGAACAGGTCGACAATGCACAAAAGCATTGATGCAAGCACCCAATGAGAAAAAGGCTCTTTGCAGCACACTCTTTGTTCGATCATCAACCGATGTAAATGTATGTAGGTCATAGTAAGTATTATTATTCCTCTGGGCAATGGTGGCTAACAAACGAGGCAAATTATCATAAGAAGCTTCAAATGTGCCATACCTCATCTCAATAATCTTTTGTTTGGCTCTCCAGGCCTTTGCATAGCTTATGGTGTACTTGAATTTGTTCTCGATGTGCCTAATAATTGATTTTGGTTCAAAGCCAATGTTACCAACAACACTGCTGTACATCTCACTTGCCACAAAAGCTGAAGTGATGTTTCGGTGATACTTCTCCACCCCTTGTAAGTAGCACTTGTGCTCGGTCACAATGCTAACTTTCCAATAATCATTCCATTTACCCTTATATGCATAGACACGCCACGGACAATCTTTCTTCATGCACCTCACTTCATACACATAATTTGTTGACTTGACCACCCTAAACTCTCTCTACAAGGAAACTGCCCAATGCTTCACCGCCTCCTTCATCTCATCCTTATGAGCATACCTTGCACCCTCAATTACCTCGTTCTCCTTATACTCCCAGGGTACATGATCACCCTCTGATATAACAAGTCCAGAGAAGTCCTCATTTGCCCAATCAGTGGCCATTACATCACCTTCCTCATCGGATGATGCGTCGTCGTCCGCTTCCTCATTATCCGAATCTTTCCTCTCCATTTCATCAACAATTATACCGACTCTCTCCCCCTCATCCGCCATGCCCATGGCCTGCTCCTCCCTTGGTTGATTTTCCTCATTTTGCATCGATGGTCCAACAACATCCCCTGCATTGATAGGACCCTCTACATCTTCGGTTTGCATTGAAACATTTATATCTTTCTCTTGTACCGACACAAATATAACGAGGGGCCATGACCGTTCAAAAGCCATTTCCACACAAATATCTCCAAGCAGCAGTGCTGTCCATCGGCATTAGTTCCCAAAAATAACCTTCTGTTGCACGACTCACTACAACTGATACTGACATTGTGTAGACTTCTTGGTCTATTCTAAATCCTCTCAACAACCAACTATAAATTGACTGAAATGTTCTCTCCGCAGGCCTATCGATGCCCTTAGATGTCATTACAAAATCTGACAGATCAACACCATCTGGACCAAATCTAATATTTCCTTCACCGTGAACTATCTGAAATGTGACCTTACTTGACATTGTACCTGATGAAAACAATAACTGCGTTAACCTCGCATTTCTGTACTACGCCCTAAGTTACATTCTCTACAATATTGTTCTCTAAATTTCTAAAAGTACGTTACATTCTCCAGATCAAACTAAACTACATCTTACAATTAACACTACTGTCTATGTCTCAATTCATACTTTATATTCTATGCTCTGGATCTACACATATGTGCTGTGTGCTACAGATGTGCTAAAATATATGGAACTAAAACTAAAACGCAACATATATACTCAAACATAACATATTAGTACAAATGCAAAAGATGTATGGGAGCATACCTGTGATGAGGTGAGCGAACCAGCAGGGCTTCGCCGCTCCCCTTCTGCTGCCCTCCCCTCTCTCTCTTTCGTTTTTTTTGGATTTTTAGTCAATATAATGAAATTTCACAGAGGAGGGACTGGGCTTTATAGGGGGGAGGCAAAAATCGCCCTCCCCCAGGGCGGCAAGGGGGCCGCCTGCAAAATTCCATGCCCCCTCGCCGCCCATTTGCAGGCGGCCCCCCGCACAGTACAAAATCGCCCTAGCGGAGGGCGGCAAGGGGGCCGCCTGCAAAATTCCATGCCCCCTCGCCGCCCATTTGCAGGCGGCCCCCCGCACAGTACAAAATCGCCCTAGCGGAGGGCGGCAAGGGGGCCGCCTGCAAAATTCCATGCCCCCCCTCGCCGCCCATTTGCAGGCGGCCCCCCGCACAGTACAAAATCGCCCTCGCGGAGGGCGGCAAGGGGGCCGCCTGCAAATTTCGTTGACGGCCGTCGCCCGAGAGCGAACGGCCGTCTGCCACGTCATTTTCACCGCCCTCTGAGAGGGCGATTTTGAGGGCGGTAGGCGACTACTTCCGTCAATTTTCAAAATGGAAAATTATTTTTGTAAAACTTTTAATAAAAAAAATTATAAATAAAAAAAATTCCTCGTTCGGCAGCAGTGTAAAAGGCCAGGATACCGGCCTTTTCCCCGGCCCCTTCGGGGAAGCCCACCACGTGGGGAAAAAATCCCTGTGTTAACCAAAAACGCATTCGGCTCGGCCCGGTATGGTGGATATCCCGGCCCATTACCCCCCAAACCCTAGGGATAATGGTCCACTGCCCAGACTGGTGGAAATCCACCACGCCGCCTCGAGCGGCGCAGGCGCTGCCTCTCCTCGCCCCGTCGCGCGGCGCCGGCGCCGGCGCCTCTCACCGCATCCGCCCGCGCCGCCGCCTCCTCTCGCCGCAGATGTCGCCGCCGCCTCCTGTCGCCGCAGAAGTCGCCGCCGCCGCCGCCTCACGTCGGATCTGCACGTGCCGTCTCACCGGATCTGCGGGCGCCGCATCCCTTTGTTCACCGGTGCCGGCGCCTCCTCCCTTCCTCCCACGGTGCACGACCTCGGCGCAGCCTTCTCTTCTCCCCACGGCAAGGTGAGTCCCTTATTTTTCTCCATCATTGCTCGTGTGGATGAAGAACCTTACGTTTTGCTGCCTTCCATCCATGCAAGATTCGTTGACACTTCTGTCCAGGCACCGTCTCTTCCCCAACAAGAACCATGAACTCGGCATTTCTTTCATTGTTAGACGTTACACGCTTCTTGCTTCAACCATGCTTCTTATTCGATTTTTAAGAGATTTTATTGTCAAATATGGTCTTCGGAAACACAATAGCTGTTTGCAACATATTAAAGCAAAAAAAAGAAATCACTGGGCTAATAGCTGGTCATTATTCTTCATAGAGCTTGTGTCAGGGATGAGCAGACTAGTAGTATTATTTAGTACTAAATTTCCTTGTTACAGAATTTCATTGCCCTCTTATTTATTAGATTAACAATTGACTTATGATCAAATATATTGGATATCTCGATTTTATGAAAATTTCCTAATTCACTGTTGCAATATAATTGTAATAATGTTTGCTACAAAGGAGGGAACAGCTTTATACATTGTCCAATGTGTACTTTTGGAAGCAGTGTGTTATCTTTGATCAGTCACCGGGTTGCATTTCTTCATTCAGTTCTATGACAGTAGACTATATCTGGGTGTAGCATGGAGTGTTTGTATTTGTTGATGGTTTTTATGCAAAGCTGTCAAGTCCTTGTTTTTAATAAAGAAACATTATCTGTCATGATGAGTGCTGTATGCATGAACAATACTCCTATTTCCTCTTGTGTGTAGTACAAAAATGTGTTCAAGAGCTAATCGTCGGAAGCGGGAGGAAGAGGATGACGATATGATTCTTTTCCTTTTCCCTGCTCTGCATCTTTTACTATGTGCTAATTCATGGGATTGGGATGAATTGGATGCACTACTACTTGGAATGTGTAAAAATTTCGATCAATCTCTGTAGGTCTAGTCATAGATAGATCGATGTCATTTCCTGTACGGAGTAAATACTCAGGAGCCCCCCTCAGCCTCTTTGTGCTTTGCCATGAACTCAGTATAAGCTTGAGCACTGATCCTATTTTGCTAATGATGCTATACTGCTAATGTGATCTACTTATATTTATATATATTTCTATACAAATAGTTCCCTTCTGACGTCGATTGTTCAAGGAAATGCTCTTCTACTGATGTATATTTCCTCCCTGTAATTCTGCTACTTTTTATACTATAGTTCTATTCATAGCATGGATTAATGCCTAATGCAGAGCACTGACGATAACTCATTTTTCACTCGCAGCAGGTAATGGAGCTACTGATAGCCTTGCAGTAATGCCTTCTGCTCTTGCACTTACGGAGAATTTGGATTTTTGGGACTCTTACTTTCTGTTTGTATGAAATGAATGTAATTAGTTTTCAGTGGCTTATCCTAGCTGATTGTGGTGATGAATATGATGTTTAAATGAGTAAATCATGTATTGTGAATGGGTGACTGATTGTGGTGACTGAATGGATATGATGCAAGCAATTTTTAGAACATTCTATGCGGTATTCAGAATTTTCATAATCTTTTTAGGCAATCTTCAGAATTTCTTATTTTCTCCAGAAATTTTAGTTTTTTATTTACAATATTTCAAATTTTCGGTAATGCTATTTTTAAATTTCAAGACTATCTGTTTAGTTTTCTTGGTATTTTCAGTGATATGAAATTTAAATATCAGTGTTGAATGTTGTTTGGCCTGAGTTAATGTCTGAAGTGAACGTTAACCTTCCCCACCATTTGCATTCCGAATGACCAAGGGAACCAGATCCCTGGGGTGGAGGGGATTGGGTGATGGGAGGGGATTCATCCAATACCCCCCTGGTGGCGTTTCTCCCAGGGAAAATGCTTACCACGTGCCGAACAAACCCAATGGTGTTTTAGCCTCGAAGCTAGAAGTTGTCAAATAGTGTGTGCGAAGCTCACGACCTAGTCGCTATGTGCTATTTGCAAAAATTTTGCTACAGGACACTCCGACTTCGTGGTTTTAGCTATGGGACACCGCCCGAACTCACTTTTGGGGAAAACGCTTCATAAACGTGGTAATTTGCCAATGGACACTGCGCTGATTAAAATAATAATTTACGATTGGAGAGGAGAGAAGAATCACGTGAAATGTCAAAAATGCCCTTGGGCCCACATGTCAGCTCTCATATCTCTCTTCTCTTCTCTCTCTCTATCTTCTCTCCCAGAGGGGCACGAGGCGGCGTCGGTCACCGGGGCTCGAGCTCATTGTGGCGGAGGAGATGGTGAGGACGGCGGGAGCGGCCGCCGTGGAGTTCGCGGCGGAGGACGCCGAGGAGGAGAGCCGCATCGTCGCCGCCAACTGCGGCCACTACCACGGCGGAGGACGGCGACGATGGCGGGAATGGCCGCCGCGGCGCTCGCGGTGGGAGCGGCAGAGGACGGCGAGGACGCGGCGAAGCGGCACGGGATAATGATTATTTATAGGATATTGTAATAATGTATTAATTTTATAGCATTAATATATTTATTTGCAGGGATTAAACTATTTACTTATAATGTGCCGACAAAATTCTTAAAGTATTCATGCTGTTCCAAATGTTTCTAGTTTTCACTTAAAAAAGTATAGACTAATTTATCCTAATATGTTGCTAGGTCCACCCTGTCATATGCACACGGATTTTTCTTTCGTTCCTTGTATCTCGCTCTTTGACCTGAGTAGGCAAACAACCAGAACAAAATTCCCCTGATCTGCCGCACCACCACAGCCCTTACGCCGCCGTCCACCAGGCGCTGTCCGCCAGCACCGCTGCACCGGTTCCGAGGCCGCACCGTGCAGAGCTGCTCCATCGAGCCGCTCCCAAGAACGGCGTTCCCCATATCCTGCTGATGCTCTGCCCAAGGGCGGCTGGCATCTTCCCTGTTCTCTCTACTGCATCTTCATCAGCTATTTTGGTTGTGCCCAAAGACCTCTCATCTGCAAGTGCAAACTACGCCAGGTTAGGAGCACTCTGTTTTTTATGCACACCAGGTGTTCGATCCTTGACCTGTATAGACACACCTCTATCTATTACTTGTTTGTTTCAGTGCAAACGAAATATTTCATCGTTTTTGTTTTATCTTCCATCCTATTATATCTGGCATTTATTTGTTCAGATCGTAGGTAAAGGCTGTATATCTAGAGTATCAGAGCTCCAGTTAGCTAATCACAGGGACATATTTGTAGTGCACAAATGTTCTAAAATTTATATTTGTAGGTCCTGTTATCTCCTCTGCTCCTAATCAAGATTGACATGCAAACTGTTCTTGTGGAACTGTATTTTCAGTTTTCAATTGTCATGTAATGTCCTTATCATGTGGCTGTTCATGTTGCCTCAGATTACTTTCATTTATCCAGAGTGCTTTTTTCAGGCCCAACCTCTTCACCGATGCCTGATCTACCCATCTGCTGCTCCGCAATATGTCCAATATAGCCGCCGTATGTACTGGATCACAACGTCAGGAGTCCAGGTGCGGTTAACCTCACATCATATATATATTCTGTAGACAGACTAATTTTGAGTTGAACTTAAAATTATATCAAAAAAATTTAGTGGGTGGTTGTCAAATTAGGAACACTGATGTACTAACCATATTTCTTATCCCATCACAGAAAACCGATGGATTTAAATGCTATTAAGAAGTTACTGCTTTCCCCTAGACCAAGTGATGAGTACCTTGCTGGAATAGAGGGTTTTCTTGAGTTTGCATATAGGGAAAAGAATCCTAATGATAAGATCCGGTGTCCGTGCAAGAAATGTGTTAATAAGTGGTTACTAAGGCGTGATGAAGTGTATGATCATTTAGGGAGTGTTCGTTAGGTGGAGATAGGAGAGATTGTGTCTCGTTTTCCGCGCGCACGCTTTTCAAACTACTAAACGGTGCGTTTTTTGCAAAAAATTTCAATAGGAAAGTTGCTTTAAAAAATCATATTAATCCATTTTTGAAATTTAAAATAGTTAATACTCAATTAATCATGAGCTAATGGCTCACCTCGTTTTGCGTATCTTCCCAATCTCCTCAATCCCCTTCTCTTCAAACACTCCCTTAGTGTACAATGGAATGTTACTTGGTTATAATCCTTGGGGTTGTCATGGTGAAACTGCATCATTCATCTCTGCTAACAGTGAAATAAAATCACAAAATAGAATTGATAATAATATGCAACAGCTAGTTCAAGATGCTTTTGGAAACACAGGCAGCAGCCCTCCAGTGAATGATTATGATGCACCAACTTCTTCTAACAGTGGGCCAGACTCTGAAACAAAAGCGTTCTATGATTTACTCCGAGATGCTCATGAACCTTTATGGGAAGGGTGTGAACTTACAAGGCTTTCGTTTCTTGTAGTCTTGTTTTACATAAAATCCATTAACAAGTGGAGTAATAAATCTTTAAATGATTTGCTAGCGATCCTGCAACAAGCAATTCCAAATGGTAAGAGTTTACCTAGAACATTTGTTGAGGCCAGGAAGATAATGGGAAAGCTTGGACTTAATTATGTCAAGATTCATGTTTGTCCAAAAAAACTGTCAACTTTACAGGAAAGACAAGGCAAATGATGACTTTTGTTCAAAATGTGGAACTTCAAGGTGGAAAAACAAAGAAGATAAAACTACTTTAACAAAGAAGGAAAGAAGAAGGGCAACCCCAAGAAAAGTTTTACGATACTTCCCAATTAAGCCAAGGCTTAAGAGGTTATTTATGCATAAGGAATCAGCTACAGCAGTGAGGTGGCATGATGAGGGTCGCACAAAGGATGATGCATTGCGTCATCCAGCTGATTCAAAGGCTTGGAAAGACATTGATTCTAGATATCCTACCTTTGCATCAGATTCTCGAAATATCAGGTTTGCAATGGCTAGTGATGGGTTTAATTCAGTTGGAACGATGAGTTCGACCTACAGTTGTTGGCCGGTCGTCTTAGTTCCCTATAACCTTCCTCCATGGTTTTGCATGACAGCATCCTTACTTATGCTTGCTCTCATAATTCCAGGGCCATCTTACCCTGGAAAGGATTTTCATGTATTTATGGAGCCGGTTTATGAAGAGTTGATTGATTTGTTTAAGGTTGGAACCCCCACATATGATGCATCCCAAGATGAGATGTTTCAACTCCGTGCTATATTATTGTTCGCAATCAGTGACTACCATGGAATTGGGATCTTTGCAGGTTATAGCGTAAATGGTGAATTTGCATGTATTACATGTCATGATGAAACATGTTCTAAACGTTTGATACATGGTCGCAAGTATTCTTTCATGGGACATCGTCGTTTTCTACCCCTAGACCATGAGTTCCGTTACAATCGAATTTCTTTTGATGGAATTGAAGAACATAGACCAGAGCCTATTGCATTTTCTGAAACTGCAATTCTTAGTAAAATAAAGGCAATTAATGATTTTGAGAAGTCAAAAACATGGAACTGTGTTAGTGGGCTATTTTCTTTGCCTTATTGGGAGTCCAATTTACTACGCCACAATCTTGATGTAATGCATATAGAGAAGAATGTTTGTGATAATATATATGGGACACTTCTAAGACTGGAAGGCAAATCAAAGGATAATTTACAGGCACGACTAGACCTGCAAGAAATGAATATAAGGCTAGGATTGCATCCTAAAAAAAAAGCTAACAATAAGTATTACTTGCCTCCTGCTACCTATACAATGTCTAAAAATGAGAAGCAACAATTTTGCAAAGTTCTCCATGATATTAAAGTTCCGGATGGCTACTCAGGAAACATATCAAGATGTGTAAATGTTGGTCAGGCAAAAATTTCAGGACTTAAAAGTCATGACTACCATATTCTAATCCAACAACTTCTTCCTGTTGCTTTGCGAGGTGTGCTTCCAGACAATGTTACATCCGTATTATTTGAACTATGTGGTTATTTTAGAGAATTAAGTGCAAAAGTCCTATACATAGATGTGCTTCGGAAGTTGGATGAACAAATTAAAATGACATTATGCCGTATGGAGATGATATTTCCTCCTAGATTTTTTACTGTTATGGTGCATTTAGTTGCTCATTTAGCAACAGAGGCTGAAATAGGAGGTCCTGTGTGTTACCGATCGATGTACTTTGTGGAAAGGTATGTTTATATTACAAATACAATTGAATTTGTTATCCAATATATATTTCTTAACTTTTTTTTCTCATTTCCATGTTTATGTAGATATTTGAGTGTGTTGAAGTCATATGTGCGTAATAAAGCGCATCCTGAGGGATGTATAGCTGAAGCATATTTGGCAGATGAGTGTATGACATTTTGTTCTAAGATATATTGAAGGTTTTGAGACAAAGCACAACCTACTGTAACGCCCCGATTTTCGTTCGGGATTAAAAATCATTTAATAATGTATTTTCTAGAAATTAAATAAAAGTTAAAGCAAATTAATCAAGTGAATTATTGAGGGAATTAAAAATTTCCTTTAAAAATCACTGGCCGAGAATATTTTGTAATATTCTTTGTGCCCTAAAATAATCTCTGAAATTTCCCGCGAATTTTCGAAGCTCGAGAAATAGTTTTAATAGCACAAAGATCATTGAATCAATTAAAATAAAAAGAAAACAAATAAAACCCCCCTTCCTTTCTTTGGGCCATTTTCGGCCCAAGTCTTCATTCTCTCCCGCGGCCCGCGCGCCCCCTTTCTCTCCCTCTCGGGCCGGCGTCCTCCCTCGGCCCGCTCGGCTCTCTCTCTCACTCAAGTCCGTTCCGCCTCCCCAGCCGGCCTCTCCCTCCCTCTCTCTCCGACAGGTGGGACCCGTGGACCCCACCTGTCATCCCCTTCCTCCAGCTCCAACTGCTGCCATGGCCGCCCGAGCCGCCCCACGACGCCGCCGTTTCCACCCACCTCCTCCACCCCGCGCGCGCGCGCTCGTCCGTGGGACCTCGCCGCCCACGTCCTCCTCGTTCCCCCACCTCTCCCCGCGAAAACCGCCGCCACCCCGAGCCCACTCAACCACGTCGCCGGCGCCCCTTTCTCCCTTCAAATCCGCCGCCAACCGGCCTCCCCGTCGACTCTTGAGGCTATAAAAAGCATCCTCGGCCTCCCCTCTTCCATTTCCCCATTTTTCCCGAGCTCCCCGCGCCTCCCTAACGCCCTCCCCACGCCGCTCCCGTGCACCACCGCTTTCCGGCGAGCTCCGTCCGGCCGATTCCGCCGCTCCACCCACCGCCGCGCCAATCCGCCACCACTGTCGGCTTCGCGGCGCCGTGCCGCAGCCCGGCCTCTACTCCATTTCCCCTCTCCGCCTCTGGAACACCGCCGCCTCGTGCACCACCTCTCTCCCCCGCCGCCGCCGCCTTCAGCCGGCCGCTGCTGCCGCGTTAGTCGTCGCCGCACCTCGCCGTTTGCGTCGTCGGCAACGCCGTGCCAAGCTCTACCCCGGCCTCTGCTCCGTTTCCCCATTTCATCGCCGCAACCACCTTTCCACCGTCGACCCGAGCTCTACCACCGCCGTTCACTGCCTCCAGCCGTCCCGTCCCGCTGCTCCGGTCGTTGCCAACCCGCGCCGTCGCCTCCTTCGGCTCCGCAGGGACGAGGGGAACCTCGGCCACCTCTTCCCATCGCCGGAGACTCACGGGACGTCCGCTATTCCGTGCGCCGGTGAGCCCTTCCTCCCTTCTTTTCCTCTCCGGCCGGCCATGTCGTTGCCCCGTCCTCCCTAACAGTTCCCCTTCCATCCTGTGGCGCAGCTGCCGCTCGTCCGCCTGTTCCCGAGCTCAGCTCGTCACCGGAGCGTCGTCGTCTCCGTCCGCCCCGAGCTCCGCCGTCGCCGCCTCCCGTTGCCATCTCGCCGCCGGCCGCATCCTTCGGCCGTGTGCCGCTCGGTGAGCTCCCCTCCCCTTTCCCGCTACCCTCCGCCGCTCACCCGCGCGTGCTGCCGCGCCGGTGGTCGTCGCCAGTGACCATCGGGCCGCGCGTCACCGCTCCTGGCCGGTCGGTCGGCGAGCTGGCTCCTGCCCGCCCGTGGCCGCCCGATTCACCCCGGGTGAATCTGGGCCGTCCACGTGGCCGCTCGGCGCCGCCCCGCGTCGGTGCCCTCGTGTCGCCACGCCGGCGCCACCGCTGCCGCTCGTCCGCCGTGGCCGTCCACGTGGTGCGCCCGCGCACGTGCCGCGATGGACTGAGTCCACCGTGCGCCCTCCCCTTGTGCCGTTGACGTGTGGGACCCGCCTATCGGCGTCGGCCCCTCTCTTGCTGACGTCAGCGACAGTCCTTTTCCTTTAAGAAATTAATTATTAATTGCGCAATAAATCGTTAAAAATTCTAGAAATTCATTTAAATGGCTCAAAACTTCTAAAATTCATATCTAATTGATTCGAACTCCGAATTGAGCCATTCAACTTGCAAAATTCATATAAAATTGAGCTCTACATGTTTGTTTAGTTTTTATGTACTATTTCCTTGGTTTTTATTAGAGTTTTTCCTCATTTTGCGTGCCTGCGTGTAGAATCCGTCGTTTCGGAAGTCCGCGGTCGCGAGGAAAAGTGTTCGGAAGATTGTTTGAAGAAGCAAGGCAAGTCACACATTCCCCTTGAGCATTTTGATCCTAATTTACAAATGTTTTACCGTTTGCAAATAAAATTGCATGTCTTGCTAATTACATGGGATTAGGGTTTACCTATCTGCTCGCTTGTGCCATGTTTACTTGATATCTGTCCTTCGTCAACATTGGGTAATAAATCGACTAGCTCATGTTACTTATGTGACCTAGCTAGAACTATATGCTTAGCCATGCTTAATTACCACTAGCTCAGTTGATGGGATAATTACAGTATTAGACCTTTTTTAGTATCAGAATGAGCTGCGTGCTCGAGACATCTGGCCATGCTTCATGGTCGTAATTATCCAACTAAAATGCGATTACATGGTGGGCTGTGGGTGCATGGTTTTGCTAGTCGCACCCATGGCAATTAAGGACCGGTTCGCGGGAAACCCTGGAAGAATTTATCGTGCTTACCACAAGCCAGCGTGGGCAACGGCTGGGCTTGTAGTGTAGCTTTCCTCTAGCCGACGCATCCAGGCAAGGGTGGGCGTGATGGAGTTTGGATGGGCCCTGCGACGGCCTATGCGACTTCTGGATTCACCTAGGCACGAGAGGGGACTGCCCGCTGCCTTGCGAGGAGTGGGGGTGAAACCTGAGGTGTGGTGTGCTTGGTTAGAGGGGGTTATGCGAAGGGTCCTGTCACGGCCTCTTTCCAGTATGTCGTGGTGGCATGTCAGCGCACGGAAACGTGTCGTGGGGCTGTGTCTTGTGGGTACAGTTGTACACCTCTGATCAGAGTAAAACTATTCGAATAGCCGTGCCCGCGGTTATGGGCGGTCGACCAGATTCACCGTGATTAGTCCCACCTTAATAAATCGACTCAATGCACTGTAGTTCAGGTGGGTTGGTTGGGCCTGTTCAACGTGGTGTAGCGTTGATAAGTGGAGATTTAATGTTACTTTAATTACTCATCAGTTTTACTGTTTTGCTCAATGAAATATTTTACAATCGCCTTTATGCAAATAGCCACAAGCCTTCCTTGTGTCACCTTGCACGTCTGCATCGTTGGTGTGGCTTGCTGAGTACGGTGGTTGTACTCAGCCTTGCTATTATTCCCCATTTTCAGAAGTGTAGTGCTTCTGAGCTGAAGACGAAGTTAGAAGACCAAGGCTCAGACCCCAGTTGAGTTTTGCCTGTGGAGTGGAGCTGAAGCCCCGCTAGGATCGCCTTTTTCCGCTACTGTCGTTCTCTTTTGGTGTGAGGCCTAAGTGCCTCTTCTGTAAGTATTTTACGCTTTATTTACATTTGGATCTGTTTATTACTTGTCGTTTTGTGTACCCTGGCTGGTCCTGGACAGGGATTTAATACACAAAATAGTCTGGAAATTTGGGCTAAATTTCTGGGCGTGACACCTACCTTCACGAAATGATGATAACGACGAGTCCATTGCTTCTCTTGATGATGAAAATCAAACAAATCTTTTTCCTCGTGCTGGAAAACCTCTTGGCAAGCCTAGAAGTTATGTGTTATAAGGGGTTTGGCTAAAATCCAGGCACATAGATATGTGCCTTTCGATTGCCCAGATGTCAATCCATACCTTCTGTATTATCTCAAATTCATATACACTGTTAGCATAACTCTTTTTGCAATGAGCATTCATTACATTATTTTCTTTTTGTAGAATGCATGCTGAGGAGATTACAAAAACATATCGGCGCGGCCGTATCACCCCAAATATTATCGAGCGTACACAAAATGAGAAGGAGGCTCCCTCCAGGGCCAAAGGGCCAAAAGGCTCCCTCCGGTGGAACAGCAGTCAGGAAGGGAGTTACAATCTGTTTTGTTCAGGAGGCAAGGGTAGCTCTTCCACGGCGGTCGGGCAGGTAGTCTCGGCGGTTCTGATGGCTTCTGTGGAGGCCTTTGTGGGGAGCAGCGAAGCAGCCGTTGGGCTTCTCGTTCCGGCTGGTGAGTGGCCAAGATTTGTCTCTTGGATCTCAGCTAGTCCACACAGTGAGCTGATGTTGTTGCTCTGATTTATGTTTACATGTGGTTCGGTGGTGGAATATGTACATGTGTTTCTTTTGCCTGTTGGTTCCCATCTAGGCGTGCTTTTTTTTTTTGAAACGTGTTGTTTATGTGATTAATTAACATGAGAAGGATCTGTTAGAAACTAGAGGAAAAAACTATGGCAGAAGAACGAAGTATAGGAGCTCGAGAAAACATGCATAGTAGTAGTCCCGAACCACATTTTCGTTGATCTCATAGTTAGTCTGTTCATGGGTTCAATTTTTTATCCTTCGATCTACGATTGCGTATTGCTTAGTTTTGAGGATATCATTATTCTTGTAGGTGTTTTAAGTCCTATGCGTATGATAGATTTTGGCGCTCAAATTTTGTAGTAAGACTGAATTTGAACATTTTCATGTTGGGGCATAGGGTCAGGGCTAGAAGGTTTGCATTATAATGATGCATATTTGTTTGCTCCGTGTTAGCTGTCATTAGAAAAGTGGAGAACATTGGGGAGTCATTTCATATATAACTGAAAATTGAGAACTTAGGTGCTAAAAAAGGTGGCAGGTGTATTGTCTTTTTGCTTGTTGGTACCTAGTTTTGACGCTTGCCGACAAGCTTACTGATTCTGTGCCTTTTTAATTTTAGCTTTTATGCAGCTTGTGATAGTTTGTAGTAGGTGATTATTTCAGGAAGGCTCTGTGATTTATGTTATAATATGTTTTGACACTTGACAAGCTTATTGATTCTGTGCTTTTTTTAATTTTAGCTTTTATGCAGTTTGTGATAGCTTGTAGTAGGTGCTTTTTTCAAGAAGGCTCTATGATTTACGTTACAATACACATAGTTCAAAGTAGATAGGACTTTTGCTTTTGTCACCGATGGACTATGTTTTGAGTGCAAGCTCCTGAGAGAAGTAATCTTTTAGTTCTAGTGCATGCTTCTACTTGAAGTTTATAACACATCTATGAATTTTTTGTTTATACTTAATTAGTTTGTTAGCCATTAATTTGGTCATCCACCAAAGTTAATTTTACAACCTACTAAACTAGTTATTTTTTAATTGAATTATACCAGAAAGTAGTTTTGGAACATATTAAATTTGTTTCTACTAATAGTACTTAGGTCAGTAAGCACATTTTAGTCAAACAGTGATTAGTTTTGTTAGAAACTTTCAGTCAAGAGAGATTAGTTTTGTCTACTAATTTCATTCATTAAAGATGAGCTTTATTAATTACCACTGAGCATGTGCTAACCGTGGGGCTGATGCATTTTTTGGAAAGAAAACATCCCACGTCTAGTTAAGCACACACACGTTTAACTAGCACGCACATCCCAACGAGGCTCACTGGAGCCACGTAATGGTTTCGGAACACAGCTCCCTCCAGGGCCAAAGGGCCACCGCGACGGTCTTCAGTGCGATATCCAATGTGTAGACGCGCGTACTAGTACGCAGATCTTTTGCCTCATTGCTGCTCCACGTTCCACCCTCCTGCACGGATATCATGAGGGCACAGGACACGACCCTCCACTTGATGACCAGCTCGTGGAGCTCGCCGACGTCGGCGCCGGACTCCCAACCTTCCAGGATGACGTCATGGAACGGGCGATTGCCAGGGCTCGACCGACGTAGCCGACGTCGGCGGAGTCCCTGGGCACGAAGCTGGCGACGAGTTCGACGGCTTCAAGGATGGTCTGCTTGCTGACGCGAACCCCCGCCAGATTCCTCGACCCGCCGACCAGACCAGGGTAGTCGTCGGCGAGCCGGAAGACCGTCGCCACCGGGATGAGCTCCCGCGGCCTATTGCTGAAGATGTACCACAGGCCGCTACCGTCGGTGAAGCCGGTGATGTAGAGGTTGTCCCGGCGAATCGCGAGCATGATTTTGTTGTCGCCGGCGCCGACAAGCTCGAGGATGAACCACTTGAAGGGCTTCCTGTTGACGGCCTGCTGGTGCAAGACCCAAACGACGGTGTTGTCCGGGCCCCACATTTTGTTGCTGCTGTCTTGTATCAGAAGGGTGTAAATGTACGACATGAGTTCTCCGTAGTCGTCTGTGGCCACATTGAAGCTGATCAGGTCGTAAGGTCCCTGCATGCAGTACGTAGATCGAGCAATTAATATCTATAATTAATTAATTAATTAACCAGCAGAAAAGAAAATTCATCACGCAACATATCGATCCATCCAGTGGATTCTCTAATTATTTATTTTACACAGGATGCATGAATCGGACGATCGAGCTAGTAGTACGTACGGAATTTTTTTGAGAATTAATATTATTTTTATGGAAAATCGCAAAAGTGGTGGCCAACCGGGGAAAATCGCGAAAGTAGGTCCCTGTCGAACGGATGCAATTCGATAGGGCACCTATCGAACGACGGGCAGCCGACAAAGCCCTGTCGAACGGCTGGCGTTCGACACGCTCACCTGTCGAACGGAGGGAGTTCGACAGGGCCCACCACCCGGCGCCGCGAGGCCTGTCGAACCGGGGGCGTTCGACGGGGCCCTCCACCGACCCTGTCGAACAATGGGCGTTCGACAGGCCGGTTTAAAGCCCCGTCCACCAAGGCCGCGAGTTCGATTTGTTTGAGGACCACATCGCCAGCCGCCGCCGAGAGTCGCCACATCGTCGCCGTGAGCGCCGGAGGGAGCGAGGGGAGGGGATAGCAGGCCGGAGAGGAGGCCGAGGAGGCGCCGGTCGGGAGAAAAGGGTTGGCGACGCCCTCCAGCAGTAAAGTTAAGGTATACATTAGTAATCCCTAAGTACAATGCATATGAAAGTTTAATAAAAAATTGGTTTAAGAGTTGTTAATTGTTTCGCATTGTTCGATGTTAGTATGTATGGTTAGCACATATTTGTTATTGCTAAATGTTGGTAGAGGTATTTAAGTAATTTTACGGTTAAATTAGTTCTTAGTTAGTACATATTATTGATATGTTGTGTGTTAAAATAGGTACAAAGGTGTTATATTTAATTTGGATTATTAAACTAGTTGTTTGTTACTAATAGTTGTAAATTAGTACACGGCAATGTAGTATAAGTTGTAATAGGGTAATTATCGAATGATTAAATGATTAAACGTGAGACTATTTGTCATGTTTTATCAGGATGTCAGGTGATATGCCCATTCGTCTGTATTATGGCGATTCTCCTATACAAATATGTGATAGCGGGGTGGATTTGACTGTATATGCCTTCCATGATACTAGTCTGAATGCACCGGAGCATATGGGTTTGAACGACGTGTTAGGGTGGTTGTATAATATGTTTGGGGTAGATCTAGTGCACGATAAATTTGTCATAAATGCCGTGTGGCCAGTGAGGGGTCAACATGGATGGCAGTGGAGAGTAGTGGAGGTTGCGTCAACTGGGAGTTAGAGAAAGTTTGTTAGTAAAGTAAGGGAGAAAGGCTATAGCCTGGCAATAGTGGTGCAGAAGACAACATGTGTTGATCAATCGGGGGAGTCAAGTCATGCCGTGGTGGAAGAAACTCCGTTGGAAGGTGGACAAGCTGAAAATGTTTGGCGGACTGAGCAAGGTCGAGGGGAAGAAGTAGTAGAGGGTAATACACAAGGAGAGGTCATTGTTCGTGGTACTAATCGTGAGGCCAACGACTCGGACGATGAAGAACCGGATTCGCCTATGCGTGTTGATGCAGCGGAGGAGAATGAGGCGGTAGTGGATCAGATGGAAGTGGAAAACGAGGAATACCTTGCGCTTGTAGTGGAAGGAGAAGATACAACACTGTGGGACAACGAAACTAACATACCCGATGATTGGATGACCATATCAATAAGTCGTATGAAGGTAAACGATGGTTTAGATGCCCACTGGTGTTATGATAGTAAGCAGGTGAAAGTTGGACAGATGTTTCATGACAAAAGTCACTTACAAGATGCGGTGAAGAGGTGGGCATTTGTCCAGAAGCGTGAGTTCAGGGTGAAGGTTTCAAATAGGACGACGTATGACGTGAAGTGCATACAGGGTGGATGTCCTTGGAGAGTACATGGTTACAAGCCACAACATGACACTTTATGGGTAGCTTCGAGGGTTGAGCAACATACGTGTTTGTTGGAGAATACCCGTCTGGTGCACAGAAACCTGACAGCGGCATTTGTGGCACAAATGGTATATTCAAAGGTGGTTAGAAAAACATCTTTGTCCCCTTTCACCATAATGCATGACGTTGAGAAAGAGTACGGATATGAGATATCGTACGACAAGGCTTGGAGGGCAAAACAGAAAGCATTGAAGATGAGGTTTGGAACTTATGAGGATTCTTATCACAATCTTCCCCCACTATTGGAGGTGATGCAGGCAAGAAACCCGGGCACACACATGGCTATTCTCGATGAGGTGAATGAATATGGGGAGAATGTTCTTCGTCGGGCTTTCTGGTCATTTGGGTGCATGATAGAGGCCTTTAGAAATTGCATTCCTTTGCTCTGTGTTGATGGCACTTTCATGACAGGCAAGTACAGAGGAATAATTCTAACCGCGATCGGAGTCGACGCGGATAGCCATGTCGTTCCTGTTGCTTTTGCATTTGTTGAAAGCGAGAACACATCAAGCTGGCTATGGTTTTTGCGGCACATTAAAATGTGTGTTGTTGAAAACAGACCAAATGTGTGTGTTCTGCATGACCGACACGCCGGTTTGTTATCAGCGATACAGAAGCTTCAAGAAGATGTCACACAGTCCGTGCCATGGCCAGATTTACATAGCAGATGGTGCATGCGACATTTTGGGGCTAATTTTTATAGACAATTCAGGAGTAAGAGATTGATGGACCTGTTCAAGAAGTTATGCAAGCAGAATCAACAAAGAAAGTTTGATGCCATATGGGATCAACTGGATCGTTTGACCACTACACACATGGAAGAGGTTAGGAAAAAAACCTATAGTTGCCAGACAGGAGGAGCCGAAGGGACTTGAACCCATTCCTAATGAAGCACCAAGTATTACTCGGCGCAGGAAGCGTGGAAGGGCCACGAAGTGCTTCACGGAGTGGGTAGAATTTGAGCCAAGGGAGAAATGGTCGTTGTTGTACGATACAGATGGATCGAGGTATGGTGTGATGACAACAAATCTTGCTGAAGTGTATAACTGGTTTATGAAGAATACACGACCTCTACCACTTGTTGCTATCCTGGAGGGCATCACGAGGGGTACACAGAAGTATCTCTGTAAAAGGTATTCCATGGCTAGTCTGAACCTCAGCAAACCCAGTGTTAAGTATAGCCCCGCTATTACACAGTACATGGATGAGAAAAGTAAGAAGGGAGGAATCCACAGAGTATGGCCTGCTGGGAATAGAGAGTTGTTATTTGAGATACGACTTCGTGACAAGAGTGGTGTCGGCATTGGGACTACTGACATCACATTGGAATGCACGTTGTGGCCAGAGTATCACGCTTGCAAATGCAATTGCAACAAGCCTTACCTGTTACATCGGCCATGTTCCCATGTTCTTGCTGCTTCCGCAAAAGGGGGTGTTGATGGAAACATTTTTGTTTCTCCCTACTTTAGAAAGGAATCGTGGGAGGCAACTTGGCGTGGTGAATTGCGTGGTTGGCGTGCCGTGTGCGATTTCACTCGTCCTCCTCCAGGGCAAGCCAATTGGGTTCCTGACTCAAATTTATTAGTTGATACTAAGGGTCGTCGCCAGTCGCGCAGGATCAAAAACCTTATGGATGAAGCTGAAGTGAAAGATCGTTCTCGTCGTAAGAAAGCTTGCATTCTTTGCGGGGAGAACCATTGCCGTAAAGATTGCAGCATGTACAATGTAGGGCAAGATGCCACAGGCGCTGATGTTTGTCGCGTTCCAAAGGGGAAGTTGAAGAAGAAAAATAATCCTTAGTTCGCTATTATCCTTGGTGGACTCCCTACTTTGAAGATCGTTATCGTTCAATTTATGTTTAGTGCATCAGTAATTTTAATTTGAACTTTCTTGCACTTTTATTACCCGAATCTATTTGTAATGGCCTTGTAATTTTCATTTTGAACTGCACTGCACTTTTAATATCGTCATGTATTTGTATTGGAATTGTAATTTAAATTTCGAACTGCACTGCACTTGTAATATCATAATATATGTGTCGTGGGCTTGTAATTTTAAATTGAAATGTACTGAACTGTTCTTATCTGTATCTATGTGTGCTGGTACTGTAATTTTAAATTGAAATGGCATGCAAATTTGTTACTTGAATTATGTTGCATACATTTACTGTACTGTTACCATACGTGCATTGTACTAATGTGGTTTTCGATCTGCAGGTATGGCTGATCAATATGATGGGCAGCTGATAGACAAGGAGATCGATAGGAACCATCGATCGCGACGTCTTAGTACAGGAACTTTCTGCAATGTGCTAAAGATGAGAGGACCGGATCAATATTGGCGTATTGATCCTCGTTGGGTTTCAAGGTGTGTGAAAATATATTGTTTTTACTAATACAAGGTGTTTATATTTTCATGTATTAATAACTTGCGCTCTGTCATGTTGTAGGCTGAGAGTAGCTGGGTCTTTGACGTTTGCACGGTTGGTCGAGCCTTCACGTGCAAGGTCCGAACGAATCCACATTGACGCGGCGCTTCTGAGTGCTCTTGTGGATAGATGGAGGCCTGAGACCCATACTTTCCACCTCACAGTTGGAGAGATGGTGCCCACTCTGCAGGATGTGTCTTATTTGTTGGGGCTGCCGATAGCTGGGCCAGCAGTTGGCCCAACAATGGTGAATGCTGGATGGGCGGATGACCTTCTGGCCAGTTTTGGTGGTGTGCTGCCTGTTGCACTGGAGGATCTCACAGATGGGCACGGTCCTACGAAAAGTTGGTTGAATCAGTTTCGACAGGATGTCTTCCCTGATGACCAGGAGGAGTGGATCGTGCAGCGGCACTTAGTCGCTTACCTGTTGTGGTTGTTTGGATGGGTGATGTTCACGGGAACTCACGCTGACTCCGTGGACAAGCACTTCATCCACTTTGCGGAGCAGATTGCAGAGTTACCTATCGCGGAGATTCCACAGTACAGTTGGGGGTCGGCGGTACTTGCGGCGACATATGCCGGACTGTGTGATGCTTGCGTGAGGAACAGCAAGCAAAGTTCACTCCCTGGATGCCCATTGCTACTTATGTTGTGGGCGCACGAGCGCTTCGACATTGGTAGGCCTCAGCTTGACTCGTACGCAAACTACAGTTTGCGAGAGATGTATAGGTCTGGTGTTGATGACATCGACGATCGTCCCACTATGGGATCCTTGTGGACACACCGTGAGGTATTTTTCGTTAAATTCGTTGATGTTATCATTATGAATACTAGTTCACAAACTTTCCTTATATGACTAATGAAAACTACTACTTGTTACAGCCGCAGTGGGTTAGCGGGACGACACGTCGTGTGTACACTCAGTTTGTAGCTGACTTTGATCAGCTTACGCCTGACCGTGTTCGGTGGACTCCCTACACTCAGCACGATGTCAATGATCGTGCACCGCACGGTCTCGCGGATCTTTGCACGCGAGATATGCAACTCTGGATGACGACTTGTCACCTCGTGGTGGACGTGCACGTCGAGCCACACAATGTCCACAGGGTTCTCAAACAGTTGGGCATGTATCAGGACTTCCCTCCGAGAGATGGTCGTCCTTTGGCTGATAGTCTTCATAGGTTAGTTCACATCACAGTTGTTTAATCCTACATTTTTTAAAATAAATCACTGCACAACATTTTTTCTGATGTGTGAATTTGTTGTTGTGCAGGTACTCCAGAAAGGGGCTCGGGCTTTCCTACGAGCTAGTTATTGTGACCACGGTTCAGCCGACGGTACAAGAGTGGGAGCACGCAGCTGATAACTTGGCACTTCAGACACCTCCAGACGATGGGAGTTATTATGGAGCTTACCTTCGTTGGTACCGCAGTGTTACACGATGGAGGTGTTTTCCTCCACAAAGAGATAGCACCGTCCCCCACCAGGCAGCGATTACTGACACGTTTACCCCTCAGCCTAGATCAGCTTACAACTCAATGGTACGTGTTTATTTGTGGAATTTGAGCAACTAGTTCAATATTTTTAAAAAGTTAGCAAGTAGTTCAGTATGTCTAATAAATGTGCAATTGGTTCAACTAGTTCCTTTTCTTACATAAATGTGGAACTAGTTCAGTATTTATAAATGATGTGCAACTGGTTCATTATTTCTAACAAATGTGCATCTTGTTAAATACTCTTAATAAATGTGCAACTGGTTAAATAATTTTAATTGCCTTGATTATTTGTGGAACAGGCGGAATTTGTTGAGCACGTTCACGTGGAGTCCGACACCCTGCTGCAAAGACTAGAGGCAAGACCTCCAGTCGTCAGGCCTGACGACGTGGCGAGCATCCTTCGCAACTTCCGTGCACGTGCTGCCGCACTACTACGTCGTGTCTCCTGTCGGAGCGCGGCAGATGTGGTGTAGACGTCGGGCCGATGGCCATCACCACCACTACCCCGACGTTCCAGCGTGGATCGGAGTGGTCCATCCTCTTCACGTCGCGGGTACGAAGCGGCCCACACATCTCACGGTCGTCCTTCCTTTCAGCACACCCCAGCACCGGAGTACACCAGGGGGTCAGCCGGATCAGGGGTACCCACGTCGAGCACGGCACCACCACGTCCGCAGGTATTCCAAACTCCGCCTTATGTTCACCCCTCGCAGGGAGCATCTGGGTCGGCACACTTCCCTTACATGCCAACGGGGGACAACGTGTTGAACACACCAGCATAGGGACTTCATATCACTCCGCGTGCGCCAGAGCAGGGCCACACACAGCACACATGTAAGTCATTTTAAACAATAACACGCTTTAGTTTCTAATTATATGTATCGTTACTAACTACGCCATATTTTTTGGTTTCTCCCTCTTGTGCAAACAGACGATGAGTACGGTTCGGCGTCGACGCATCACGGAATGCCTGCTTACTCCCCTCGCACAGCATTCATTGAGGACTTCTTTTCCACTGATCCTCCCCAGGGGGAAGTAGGGATGGATTACTGGCACGCAGCACCTCAGGTCACACAGCCGACGCAGGAGACGGAGGCCGGTCAGGGCCAGACGTGACACCACAGCAGGTAGCTAGAGATAGGCACCCCCCTGATAATTTGACATATCCCACTGAGCAGATTAGGCGTAGGAAGAAGGGAGGACCTAGCAAGCGTGCGAAGGGCACTGATCGTCCTTGACTTATCTATTTGTATTAAACTTTTAGTCATTTATGTTCTGTCCGTACTATTTGAGAAACACTTTACGATTAACTTAGTACTATCAGTACTATTTCATAAACTTCTTCGGATAATTACTCAGTAGCATACCCTTCGAATGAATCATGACAAATTATCATTCAAATATACAAATAATGAAACTAAATAATTCAAATATTTTAACCAACAAATAAATACTACAATTTCTGACCAAACATTATCAAAACCCTAAATCATATACATATAACATTACAAAAATATTTTCCTTTCTTACACACTAAAATAAATTACATATTATTAAAAAAAATAACTTATTACAAATAAATGGAGAACGCGACCCTGTCGAACTGCGCCAGTTCGGCGGATATCCTATCGAACAGGGGCAGTTCGACAGCTCTGCCTGTCGAACGGGGGCTGTTCGTAATAAATGGAGAACACGACCCTGTCGAACTGCGCCAGTTCGACGGATATCCTGTCGAACAGGGGCAGTTCGACAGCCCTGCCTGTCGAACGGGGGCTGTTCGACAGGTCCTGTCGAACGGCAGCCTTCCGATCTCCTCGCCAGTCGCGCTCTGGCCGTTCGATAGGCGCCCTATCGAACTGCACCCGTTCGACGGGGACCTACTTTCGCGATTTTCCCCGGTTGACCACTACTTTTGCGATTTTCCATAAAAATAATATTAATTCTCAAAAAAATTCATACGTACGTGTATTTCTGAGATACTAGATGCATGAGATGATCATATCTCATATCGATCGGAACACAAATTAAAAATTCAATGGAACATTACAAAATCTAGCATAGCAGCACAACCCTCTTGATCGAGAATCGTTCGTAATATACGGGGATGATCTGACCGAGCTACTGCACAATTATTACGTACTAACTCCCAATTATATATATTGCGCGGTTAATTAGACTTAATAATAAACTAATGAATCCAAATCAAGTTATTGCATTCGATCGATATATGCTTGCTGATTCTGCATTTATGGTAGCATCATATATATACATACATACCATGGCCTCATGCATCTCCTTCCTAGTAGCCAGTGTGATCGATGTACATACATACGACTGTCGATCAGTATCAATTAATGAGATCACTAGCATGCTTGCTTGATAAGGTAGTATCATATTTGGATCGAGAGAGTAGTGATCGAGGAGTTCTACACTAGTAACACTACACAGGCCGGTGCAGACTGCAGAGTAGTGGTCGTGCAGTGCAGTGGATGAGTCAGTCCTGCACGGCCGGGCATGCTTAATTGTTCCAAGTTTCCAACTAATAATGCAATGCAAAAGCTAACATCGGCAGCAAAGCATGTATATTCCCTTGATTTATATATAGGGGCCGATCTAGCTGCTATAGGGAGACTAGTTAATTAGTGGGGCTTAATTAAGATCGATTAGCTAGGAGACTTAAGGAGAATGAATCCTCAGTACGTGAGAGTGAGAGCGCAGGAGAGGGTTGGAAAACTTACTGGTTAGGATCCAATGGGGGGTGTGCGTAGTCGGCCATCGCCGGTGCGGCCAGTGCTGCCGCTGCCAACACCAGCAGCACAACCGGCAGGCGTGGGGTGGTTGCCATCGTGCAGTTGTGCTCTGCTCGGCTTGTAGGTGGGTGCTGGAATAGATATACCGTGCAACTCTGCCCCCCTTTATATAGTGGTGGCCTGGTGGGTGGCTTGCTTCATCGTGCAAGCCATACGCATGTGATCCATTTAGAATATATATAAAGGGAAGAATATTTACAAAGAGGGAGAGAGATAGAATTTACAAAGTTATTACATCACTCTGTCTATCCATGATTTCCATATAGGCCTTTCTACTTCTTTTACTCTAAACATATGTAGAGTAAAATCCACCCTGAACCTTTGTTTCCAAGAGTTTAGATTAAGTTGAACACCATCAAAAAATTGTGCATTTCTTGTCGTCCAAATGTTCCAATTAAGCTGCAATTGCCACCGCTTCAATAAAGAAAGATTTCTGGAAATATGCTTTAGCATACATAATCATATTCATGAAACTGAGGTCCATTCTCCAATGTATTCCAAGGTAAACCCAGCAACTCTTTGCAAAGGAGCAGGAGAAAAAAAGATGGGTCGTGTCTTCAAGGGCTGCATCACTGCACATTACACATTCTGGTTCACCATGTACTGTGAAATGTCTTCTCTGTAGCATTTCTCTAGTGTTTAATCTATCCATCATAAGTAGCCACATAAACATTTTCAGTTTCATAGTACATTTACTCTTCCAAATTAACGTACTAGGCAAATTAAGGAAAAATAACCAACTGCTGCTCCATCAAGCTGTAAGAGATGTGATGGAGATGGCTATATATGCATCCTCCGATCCCTTATATGTAGAAGGATTGCATCGGCAGAGCTTGCATTGGGTCGTTGCTAGCTTTTTGAGCCGATCACTGTCTTGATCGAGGCTGCAATAAGCCAGCTAGCTAGCTGATATATATAGGATGGGTGGGTTGCAATAAGCCAGCTAGCTAGCTAACTGATTGGGTGGGTTTGTTGCACCTGAAACTTTCCCGGGATATATATACTCATCTGTATGTGCAGGTCGATCACTGCATTAATTGCATCTATATCGCTCAATATGGAAGAGCGCGTCCTTTTTGCATCAACGCGTTGGGGTACGGTGGTCCACGGCTACTGTGCATGCACCTCCGTCGCTCTCTTTCGCGCGTTTCTTTTTTGTGTTCACCAATGCAAGCTTGTGCATGCGGCAGTGTCCTGTCTCGATCTTGTGCAACGGCCGGACCTGAGGCGTTTCCTGCTCGAGTTTATTTGGATCAGAGGCAACAGGCTCGATCAGCTCCACCCACATTCCGACGCTGCTTGTGGTCAGATCGGATGGAGGAGCCTCTTCGGCTAGACTGCACGAAACTCTCGATCATGTCCCACGCCTCCTCCATGACATGGACCAAGTCGATCGAACGCGACCGAGCACTGATCGAGGAAACTAGCTAGCTAGCAAGTACGGCGTGCGAAGAAACGGCAGCCGAGTTAGCTAGCTAGCTACGTACCACTACGCCAGATCCTCACACCTCTGACGGGATACCTGTGACAGGCAAACGATTTGGTCACTAGTGACCATTACCTCTGACGGGTCAGACGGGATAACGTCACCGGTGAGCCATCCGGCCGCGGACCGTCACAGGTATCCCCTCACCTGTGACGGGCCGAAAGGAAAACCCGTCAGAGGTATACCAGTGACGAGTTTTGCTTCCAACCCGTCACTGGTATCCCCTCACCTGTGACGGGCCGATACATTAGAAGCCGTCAGAGGTGATGGGCCGCCACCTGTGACAGCTTTCATTTCTGGCCCGTCACAGGTGAGGGGATACCAGTGACGGGCCACTGAATAGAAGCCCGTCAAAGGTATGACCAATACCTTTGACGGGCTTTTTTTATCTAACCCGTTTGAGGTGTGTTGGGTCTATAAATACCCCCCAAACTGCCAACTGCTTTCCATCCCGACCATTTTACTGTTCACAAATCGGTTGGGAGGGCAAGGGGGCGATTTTTTGCTAAAATTCAAGGTAAAAAACACATTATTCTCCATTCATTCTCAACATATCGATCATCATTTATTTTTCTTTGTATGTTGTTGATTTCAGATGGATCGTAGATGGATATACTATGCGCATCGTTCGTCTACCGAGTATAGAGAGGGGGTCACTGAATTTGTCACATTTGCGGATAATGACAGAAAAAGTAGGATGAGCATGCACATGTTGTGCCCATGTAGGGACTGTAAGAATGAACAGATGATCGAAGACAAGGATGAAGTGCATGCTCATTTGATAATGAATGGATTCATGAAGAAATATACCTGTTGGACCAAGCATGGAGAGCAAGAGGCGCCTGATGTCGCAGCTGAAGAAGTGTTGGATCAGGATGTAGAGAACACCGCCGCAGCTCGAGAAGGCATGTTCGTACCTTCTGCTTTAGGTGGAGAGACCATAGATTTGGACACTCAATGTCTATCTACAATGTTGCATGACATTGAAGACGCAGAGGACAATGACAGAGATTATGAGAAGTTTAGTAAGTTGGTGGAAGATTGCCAGATGCCGTTGTATGATGGATGCAAGTCGAAGCACAGCAGGTTGTCATGCGTGTTGGAACTCATGAAGCTTAAGGCTAGTAATGGCTGGTCGGACAAGAGTTTTACAGAACTCCTTGAACTGTTAAAGGATCTGTTGCCAGAGGGGAACAATTTACCTCAGACGACATATGAAGCGAAGCAAGTATTATGTCCGTTGGGCATGGAGGTCAGAAGAATTTATGCATGTCCGAGCGACTGCATTTTGTATTACAAGGAATACGCTGACTTGGATGTCTGCCCTATCTGTGGGGCATCAAGATACAAACGAGCAAAGAGTGAAGGTGAAGGAAGTAAGTCAAAGAGGGGAGGCCCAGCAAAGGTGGTGTGGTATCTCCCAATTGCGGAGCGCATGAAGAGAATGTTTGCGAATGACAGTGGGATGACAACTGTTGACCTTAACAAGGTTGGATACTCGGACGAACCTTTTGTCCTTGCCAATGATGTAACGCAAGTCTTTTTCGTGAAGGACATATCTAGCAAAGGAAAGAAGGGCAGAGGGCCTGATGAGCCTAAGCGTCAAGTGGTTCTCCCAGGCAAAAGAAAAATCGTCGGAGTTGAGGACAAGACTGACGAGGATTACGATCAGTTGGATGGGCAACCCCCTTTCACGGTGACGATTGACCCTAGCATCCTCCTATCAAATGAAGACACCCCTTACTCACGCAGCGATCACAAGGAGGGAACAATAGTGAGGAGAAAGTACGTGCGGTCAACCGTCACCGCCGATGTAATGCCGTAATTATTGTGTACACGATGTAAACTATTTTGGATGTATTGATTATCCATATAAATCAATTGATGTATGGCATATGTTAATTACGCACGATTATTAGAGGTTTCAACAAGTTTAAATCATGTATATGTTAGTTATATGTGATACTTACAATTTTTAAAAGTTTTAAATCACACAGGTGGCAATTTCATATGTATGTTAATTAGAGTTTTTAACATTTAATTTACTAGCATTCATATGCTAATTATAATTGACTAGAGGATTTTTAAAAGTTTTAAATCACGCAAGTGGCAATTTCATATGTTAATTAGAGTTTTTAACATTTAATTTACTATCATTCATATGCTAATTATAATTGACTGGAGAATTTTTAAAAGTATTAAATTTAATATATTTTTAAAACTATCATTCATATATTAGAGTTTTTCACAATTTAATTTACTATCTTTCATATGCTACTTATATATGACTATTCGAATTTTTAAAAGGTTTAAATCATGCATGTGGCATTTACACATGTTAATTAGAGTTTTTAGCATTTAATTTAATATAATTCCTACGCTAAGTATATATGATGATTACAATTTTTATTAATTTTAAATCATGCAGTATGTACATACATATCTTAATTAGAGTTTTTACCAATATAATAATATCATTCATATATATGCTAAGTATATATATATATTGGAATTTTTATTAATTATAAGTCATATATTTGCTTATTACGATTTATCCACTTAATTTATTACAGACAAAAATAATTTTTCGAAGTAATTGTCATTAATCTTTGTACTTTAAATAATGTTAATGCATTAACTTCTATTTTATAAACACATATGTAAGCGAAAATCATATGCAGTGCTATAATCTTTAGGCCCGGTTCTTAACCCTAACCGGGTTTAAAAAGAATTTTGAAATAGCGGGAAAAGATATTTACTCCCGGTTGTTGAGAACAACTTCTCAACAACCGGGAGTAAAGATCCGGGGGTATATATATTCCCGGTGCGCCCTCGTCTTCTTCACCAACACTTAGACGTTTTCGGCCGATCGATCTCTCTCGGCCTCTCTCCTTCGCCGCCACTGCCTAGGGCAAATCCTCTCTACCGCCGCCTCCTCACTCACTCTCTCGACCGCCGCCGTCCTCTCCACCGCCATCTCCACCGTCGCCGCCTCAACCTCTCCTCCGCCCTCTCCGCCGCCATCTCCGCTGCCCTCTCTGCCGCCATCTCCGCCGTCCTCTCCACCGCCATATCTCCACCGTCGCCGCCTCATCCTCTCCTCCTCCCTCTCCGCCGCCATCTCCGCTGCCCTCTCTGCTGCCATCTCCGCCCTCTCCGCCGCCGCCGGTCGTCCTCTCCGCCGTCCGTCCATCGACTTCCCCGACCTCCCCGACCCCGACCTCCCCGACGCCGGGATCCCCGACCACCGCCGACCGCCTCGACCCCTTCGCCACTGCCTCTCCGCCGCCGCCACCAGGATCCAGGACGACTACGGCCTGCGCCGCCGTCTCCAAGTACGCCGCTTCTCCAAGTATGCCGCCACCCTCCCCCATTCCTCCTTTTTTTCGATGGATGAATTGCATTGTTTAGATGAATGAAATGTGATTTGTTGTTTCGATTATTGGTGCTGCTGTATAGATGAATTAAATGTGATTTGTTGTCTGTCGATGTTTTGGATGAATGTAGGGGCTAGATTTTATATACATGATTTTGGTGCAGTGAATCTTGAATGTGGATTTAAGTGCAACTGCTGCTG